TGCGAGCCGGCGGATAAACTGCGCTTTGTAGGGGTAGTAATAATTGATAGCTGCGGTGTGGAGCCCATCCAAAACGCACTGAGTTCTGTCTCTGCTCCCCAACGCTCAGGGTGACCCTTCCGCCAAGGAGAAAACTGCCTCACAACCATTATATATATATACATACATTGGGCTTTTAAGGTAATGAGCTCCTTCAGTGGGGGGGCGAGGGGGGTGGCACTGGGGGGGTTCTGCCCCACGGAGCTCCGTAGCTCTGCCATGGTGTGGGAACACTGATGAGCCAATTCTGACACTCCAGCAACAGGAATCGCCTTCTTGCCCCCAGAGAAGCCAATCAAATCAAACAGAGTGGAAAAGAAGACAGCCTCTTCATTAACCTAACAAGGAGCCCTGGGGATTTGCGCTCCCAGACTGGAGATTCTCCTTCAGCTCCTGCTGGATGGATGGATGGATGGATGGATGGAATGCTTCGCGGGTGCTGCTCGTGCTCCTTCCCCACAGCCCTGGCTGGGAAGCAGCAAAGGGGCTGTGGGTTCTGCACAGCACCACTCGTCAGCAGTGCTCCTGCTCTCTGCTCCCAGGCTGGAGCCATGCTGTCACCTCCTGCCTCTCCTGCACTGCCAGATGCAGGCAGCTGGGTCCCATCCATCCTCCCTGCAGCACAGGAGCCTGCAGCTTGCTTGCGTGGGGATGCTGAGCATCCCAAGGACGATGAGCTCCTGAGGATGCTGAGTCCTCCCCAGGGTGGAACCTCCATCTGCCTGGTGCCCCCTTTAGGCACAGCACAGCATCATGCAGCCACGCTGCATTCAGGCAGCTTTGTCCCCATCTGATGGCAAACCCAGCAGTGACCCTTCCTGCCATGCAGCACCCAACAGGCACCGCAGGACTCCTCCCACACAACACTGCCCCAGCTCAGGGCACAAAGCAGGGATGGAATAAAGCAGGACCAGGGGTCCCCTGCTGTCCCTAAGCACCCAACTCCACCTCAGAGGAGCAGACCTGGGAAGGCCTGCAGCCAGCTCCTTGGTGCTGGAAGCTGCAACCTACGTGCAACCTGGGAAGCCCCCACTGCTGGTGACCAGAATGAGCCCTGGGGATGCAAACACCACTAAGTTCAAGAGATGACACCATGCAACAACCTGTCCCACCGACTGCAGCATTTCCCTGCATCTCAGCTACATCTACACGTTTTAATTGTTTGTAAAGCCATAGGACACCTAACTCTCATTAAGGCAAAAGGCCACCGACACCAATTTTGTCTGCATGCACAAACCTTCTGACCTCACGCTGTCGATGCTTAACGACACCACGTCCCAAAGCCCATCAGCAAAGGGCATCCCATGGCACCACAACCACACGCAGCAGACTGGGAACAGCCCATCTGACAACACCTGAGCTCCCCACCGCAAACCCAAGCCCTACCTCCGTGGCTGGGCACTGCCATGCTGTTGGCCAGCTGGTAGAGCCGCTGCTGCTGCTGCTCCTCAAACGTGCCGTGCTCGTTCAGCGCCGACATCATGCGCCTGTAGTGCTCCTCTGGGGTCATCTGAGTCACTGAGTCCTCCAGCAGAGGCGTGTGGGAGTTTTCTGAAGGACAGAAAGGTTTGGTGTTGGGACAATCTCCCCTTTAGCTCTAGCACGTGCAGAACCCAATGAGGTGCCAGCGTGTGCATACCCATGGCTTGGCCTCCAGCCACGGCCGTGCTCACACACAGCAACACCCACAACTGCTGCAGCACACACAGATCCCGGTCTTTAGCACAGGACACAATACACAACTGGAAGGACACCAACCTAGACGACCACAGAACTGCAGCATCGTTCAGATCCCCACCCCACATTGCCCACTCCATGCCCCCCCCACAGTGCCACATCTCAGCACCCCAGTGATGGCAACCTCTCCACCCTCCCCGGGCAGCCCATGCCCACACATGGCTGCTCTTGCATCTTCTTCCCCTTTGCCAGCTCTGATCCCCACGGCAGGCAGTGAGGACAGCCAGGCAGTGCAGGAGCACACACAACACACTGCTGCGGGTCTGTGCACGCAGCCCCACCGCCCCGAGGCCAACATAATCACACCCAGGCTGGCAACGAGGAGATGAAACCACAGAAGCTCTGTGTTTACTGTAAGCAACACACAGTGATTACCCTTCTCCCCCTCCGTGGTGGGTTTTATCTCGGATCTCCTCCAGGGCCAAACCCTTCCCGTGATGGGGGAACTCCCAGCAACAAGGTGGGCAGGAGAACCACGGGACCCCCTACAGCGTGCCCCCAGCCCCACACTGTGCCCCCAGTGCCAGGCAGGCACGCTGCCTGATGCCTTCCCTTCACAGCTTGGAGGATTGTCACCCCCTCCCCCCCATGCCCTGCCAGCCCTACACGCTCACATTTCCATATGAGACGCCAGAACGTTCTGCTCTGCTTGACAGCCACTGCTGCACCGCCAGGGCTCCTCCTGAGCATCCCAGGGGAGGGAGGGATGGTGGAGGGAGGGCTGCTGCCCTGCTGGGAACACTCCCAGCCCTACAGGTGCTTTTCCCTGGGCCAGGGAAGGACTGGCCCGCTGGCTCTGGCTCTTGGCTATGACACGGGGTCACCTTCCCTCTTCCAACAGTTGGGGTCCCAAATCCCACATCGGCAGCCCATGGAGTCTGTGGCACAGGATGCAAAGACACTTCTAACCCCTCTTCGGCCCCTTTACGTGGCAGAGAGTGGGCAAACTGAGACTCAGAAAGCATCTCCATCCCATTCTGAGGCCCAGAACACCTGCCAGGTGCCAAGAATTGCTGGGGAGCCCCCTGTGCTCGAGCACAACACAAACCAGGGAACATGGGGGCTGCCAGACAGCTCAGCTCAGACTTTCCACCCTGTCTTGCAAAGGGCAGGGAAAGACTTTCTGAGAAAAGAAGTGGGAGTGGAAAGTTTGCTTTTATGTCAGGCTTCCTGGGAACCCCTCTCAGAACGAGTGGGGGAATCCCTGCCTGAGTCACCCGGAGCATTTGGATCCTGAGAGCAAAGCCCAGGGCTGTGCTCAGCCCTACAGGGGCAGTGGGAAGGCAGAGGATGGGACAGCACTGCTCCCGTGGCAAAACCATCCATCCATTGGGCTCTTCCGAGGAGAATCCCAATGCAACAGCAATAGGGCAGGTGGGTGATGAAAGGAGAAGAAGCCAAGGGCAGCATACAGGGTTCCCCCTTTGCACCTCTCAGTGAAAAGCTAAGGTGCTCCTGGTTGGAACAGAGAGCACAGGGGAGGTGGGACACGTGAAACAAAAGATCTGGCACGCTGCAAGAAGTGACACGAGCATCCCATAACGTGGGGACAGGGAATCACCAGCAGAGAGGGACATTCCATCAAACCAGGCACCATCACCTACAATACATCCAGACACACCAGCACGTCAGGTTTCAGCCTGCAGGACCCCCCCCCCTCCAAGGACACACCTCCAGAGGACCAGGCCCTGACAGCTCTCATTCCTTGCCACAGCCAGGGGACTGCAGATGGGGTGGGCACTGCTGGCAGCTCATTAGGCACAACTTCACAACAAAGCCTGCAAGCCAGCGGCCTGCACGCCCTCCTTTAGGCAACGCGGAGACAAACTCATTAGCTGCAGGCTCCATTACTCTGCTGGCTGTAAAGAAAGTTTTCAAATCGCCTTTGCAGCAAGGAGCCGTGGAACAAATCACATTTTTAAATCCCCTCTAAAAGAGAAACCTTCTGCAGATCACATGTCTGCAGGAACGCTGCCAGGCGAGCAGCCAGGCAGCCCCATCCTCCCTTTAAGGGAGCAGATGCCAGCACGATAAGCCCCGCCGTATCTTTTATATTAAACACGTAATCGAGGCGTTCTGCCTGAAGAGCAGACACCCCTCAAACCCACCACGAAGCTGCAGCTTGCTCTGCAGACCGCAAAGCCATCCTTCTCATTAAGAGGCGATTCCCCCCCCCTTTGATGAGATAAAGCCTCCCCCCCATCTCAATTAAGTTAAGAAAGGAGAAGAAAGGGGCGGAGGGAGGTGGCACTTACCCTTTGGGGACTCACTTCGGGCTTTCTTGCTCTCTAACGGGCACTCACTGCTGCTGTTGGGAGAGCATACTCTTCTCTTGCCTAAAATGTCATCTAGGAGAGATGAGAGCTGGGTGTCAGAGGCTGCCCCGTGCAGAAGCAGCTGGGGGGGGGGCTCTGCTGCTCTCCACCGCGCGCTCACGTGTACTACAGGCAAAGGAAAAAGAAAAACCACCCCCCCAAAAAACCAAACCAAGCCCTAAAGTAAGAAAAATCATCATCCCGAGAGCCGCGCTCTGCTTTCCTAATCACGCAGCCCCAAAGCGCGTAATGACTGCTGGAGCTCTGATCAATGCCACGCTCTCCAGCCATAAATCCCCAACCCGCCTCGTTTCCTTACTGAGTTTCATCGTTTGTTCTGCTGCCTTTTGTCCCCCCGGTGCTTCCACTCCTTTCATGCCCCGATGCAAAAAAAAAACAACACGCCAAAAGCACAACAGCTCCGCGACTCTTCCCACCACCACCGTGTCTCTCTCTCTCCCTCTCTCTCTCTCTCTCTTCCCCCTCCTCCCTCCCTCTCTCTCCTCTTCAAAACCTCAAGGTCCTCTGCAATCTTTCCCCTCGGAAACGCTCGAGCCCTTTGCATTAGCGCAGCCCCACGAACCAAATACCCAATACACAATTACAGCATCCCCAAACGGATTCCGAATCGATAGCCTCCCATAATAACGCTGGGGAAACTGAAAGCATGATGTTGCATATGGGCAGGAAGGAAGAGGCTGTTTGTCACTGCAAGCATCAAATCCTCATCTATCAAGGGCTTGTTAAAGATGCAGCATCTTCGGGAGGAGAGCTCACAAACAAGCAGCATCTGAGCCAGCACACAGAGCACCTGCAAGCAACGCTGCTGCAGCTTGCAGCGTGCACTCGTTAGGGAAGGCTACACAGCCCCACGGTGCTATTTATGAGCAAGCAGATTCCAGGTGACATTGTGAGCCAAGCCAAGTGTCCTTCGTGCTCAGAGTCCCTGGGTGGGCCCAGGTGCTGCTCTGGGGCTGCACTTCCCCTGGCACTGAGCACCACGCTGCAGCTCAGGAGCATCCCCAGCTCTGCACAGCTACAAGTGGCATCTCCTGGCTTCCAGCAGCACAGGCTGCCCCCTGCACCACCCACCTGCTAGCACAGACAGCACCGAGCTGGCAGCAGAGCCCCAATAACTGCCATCAAACAGCAGTAATGGCAGAACAGACGGGAGGATGGAGCCGGCCAGAGTTCACATCCCAGGTGCGGAGCCACAAATCAGCCCTGGCTGCCTTCCACATCCCATCACTCCTCCTGCCTCAGTTCACCCTTGAAATAACTTCTCCCAGCCTGGCCAGCAGGCAGCAAACCCATGTGGGTTTTTCCTTTCCTTTCTTTTTTCCACTTTCTGCCTCCTGCCTTCCACAACAGCCCAATTGGGAAGGATGTTATCAGCAGGACTGCGCTGCTATCAGGGCAGGGTAGGTGACGTTGCACACCCCCATGCAGACTGAGAAATGAAAATGCTTTTTTTTTCTAGTCACCGTGCTCTGACAACAGGATTTGAGAGCCTAAGGCAGCTGGGCAGGCTGGAAGCTCAGCTCTAGGCTTCCCCACAGAGCATCATCAAACCCAACCCCAGGAGATGACAATTCCCAGAACCACACCACGATGCTTTGGCAGCAGCTCCACAGGCTCAGTTCTCTCCAATCCCTCAGCGCAATGTGAATGACAGCCCAGCAGGAACACAGGGGATGTCCTTCCCCACCAGTATCAGAGCCCTGGGCTGCTCCCAGCAGCAGCCATGGGATGAGGGGCCGGGCAGGAGGAGCAGCAAGCCGGTCCCAGCCTTTGCCAGCAGGGATCAATGGAACAAAGGCAGAGCGCAGCGCAAGGTCATGGGAAGAGCGGGCTGTCCTTTAACAGAGGGCAAGGAGAATGGAAATGGGAGTGATTGGAGGGCCAGGCAAAGGGGAGCAAAGGGTTTCTGCCACTTAGCAGCAAAACAAAGGCAGCATCCTCTAGCAGCAGGTCAGCTGGACGGCCCTGAGGACACGGCAGCAGCAGGCTTCAACTCTGCACCACCGCACCGCGTTCTCCCCACGCTCCGTTCCCTCTCCACATCCATTTGTTGGCTGTTGTTTGAAGTTAGCTGCAAGCTGTCACTCTCAGACCCGTGTGTCACACAGCACGGACCCGTGTCACCATCTCAAGCACAAAGCAGCAGGATTCCCAACGCCCAGCACATCCTCCATCCACCCCTAGGTTGGATCCCCCTTCTCAGCTCTCACTGGCCATCTGCCTCTCCTCCCACCATGCAGGCAGCATCCCGCTCCTTCCCACCTCCCCATGCCCAGCCCCAAAACCTGCTCCGGTATTTCCCTTCCCAAGGAAGGAAGCAGGGCTGAGCCAACCTCTGACCTGTCTGGAATGGGGCTGGTTAATAAGGAAGGCACACTGATGTTCCCAGGTCTCCCAGCTCCCTGCAAAATTCCCTTTTACGGCGTGCACCGTGCCATAAAAAGGTGCTAAATATTCATAGTATGGAAAACACTCACAGAGAGGATATACTGCACTTAAGAGAGAGATCTGGATTCATTTTATATGCTGCAGAGAGGCTGTTTAGCAATTGCAAACTTGTGAATCCCCCCTTTGCTTTTTGGAAGAGATGCATGGAAGGAAGCAGGGCTGGAGGTCCGGGCTTGCTGGGGACCTGCTGGCTTTGCAGTGCTGTGCCCTCAGCACCATTTAAATGTCCAATTGCTCTCATCCAACCCCTGCAAAGCCCCGCGCCGCTGCAGACCATGACAGCTCTGACAGCCAGACTCCTTAATTCCTTTTTCTTATTCCCTTAATCTGTCATCTTTATCAGGCTGAGGAAGTGCCAGGCAGCGTGCAGGAGCCCCGGCCCCGATCAATCTCCACATTACAGCTGACAGAATGGTGCTAATAACTTATTGATCCTATGTTTGCCAAGCCCCACTGGGGTGGGAAGGTTTCCATTGATTGGCTCCAAGGAAGGGGCTCTCAGCTGCCAGGGGGGGGGGAAAGCCATCCAACTGCCCTCTGCTGAGGAGCCCGGGGATGGAGGGAGGCTGGGAAGGGCCAACAGGAGGACAAGGGAGTGGATTTGATGCGTAGGAACCGACACATCCCTACACACATCCATAGCAGCAGGGAGATGCCACCGTGCTGACAGTTTGTTTTCAGCTGCCTGTGAGACACCTGGGAGCGGAGGTGGAAGCAGAGGGAGGTTATTTTTGGAAGGAGGATCATCTCGCTCTTCCCAGAGCTGCAAGGAGAGGGAGGAAAAGTTGCTGACTATATACAGCTGTTTGGGCTGCTGTGGGGAAGCCTCTTGCTGTGACCCTGCATCAAGGTGCCCCTGCCCAAAGCTATGCTGCAGCTGCACCTGCAAGGCACAGCAAAAGGCAACGCCAAGCATTTCCACACCAGGTTTTGCCATTTTTGCTTCATCTCCCAGGGCCTTCACCTCCAAAGGATGCTGGGTGCCTCCTGCTGGGCTTCAGAAGAAATAAACAGGAACCTGAAGAAAGCACAAAGGGCAGACAAGCCTCCAGACAGGCACAGCACAGACCCTTCCACTGCCTAGGTGAGCAGCCGGCCTTCCTGCAAGCCAAGGTGCCCGGGCATCCAGCTCCCAGCTGTCCATGTGGTGATGATTTTCTGCTCAATTTAAGGCAACAATTCAATAGAGGCAGCTCGGCTGTTGTTGTTTTGCTTTGTTAAATGAAAACACGGCTGCATCCCAGCTCATTATGACACGCAGCCTCTGGGATGCTGTCTCTTACCATTAGCCACAACATCCCCGGGCCCAACCCTTCCTCTCCCCTCCCCTGCAGATGAAAGCTCCAGGTTGGTGCCTTAAAGCAGCCCCAAGGAAGGGGAGGCAGGAGGCTACACCAGCCACAAGTCCTCAAAGCCCCCAGACTCATTCTTAAATGCTAATCTGCTTCCATTCCCTCCCCAAACTTCTCCTCCTTCGCCCCCCTGGCAGAGCATTGAGTGGAAAGGTGTGACAGGAGTGTTAAAACAGAGGAACAAATAACCTTGGGGAGAGAAGAGAGAGAACCACAGAACACCCAGAGTTGGAAGGGACCCATTGCAGGGTGCTTCTCTCCATTAAGACCCCCTTCCGAGGTACTTTTCCTTTCCTCCTCCATTTGGCATATTACATCCTGCCATTCAGCGAGCACCAGAAGGGAAGAACAGAGCAGAAAACCCACGGGGACAAGAGAGGGGAGAGCATCCCCCCATCTCCAGTGAGCATGGGGGCTGTGGGTATCACCCAATCATCACAGCTCACCTCCAGGTTTCTCCACCCAGGAACAGCCTTACTTTCAGCATCTCTGCTAGAGAGCTTCAATTTTCAATGATGATCATCTATTTGTTTTTAAAATAAGAGTCAGTTTCAGGGCAGAGCAGGAGGAGATGGATGGGAGCCCAATGCAGACGCAACCCTGATGTCCAAAGAGGAGCTGGGTATCATTTTAATCAAAGGGGAACAGCAGAGAAGAGAGCTAAGTTCCCTTGCTCTACATCCCCAATCTGTACAAACAGAGGTCTAGCAAAGAAGCCAGGAAAGACAAGGCGGGAAGCAGAGCTCTGCCTGCCCTACTGTGGGCTGATCTGCCTCTCCATGCCCTGCTGTTCTCATGCACTTCAGAGCAGCACAAGGTGTGCACCAGCAGCACAACCATCACCTGTCCCCCGTGAGCCTTGCAGAGCAGCAAGAGCACCCTTCTCATTTCTGACTATAAATGCATTTTCCAGGCCCTGCAGCTCTCAGCTTTGCTGATCCAGACTTCTGCAGATGCTTGAGCCCTACCCTGCAGAGCCCAGAACTAACACGTGCCATTTGTTCCCAGCAGTTTCAGTCCCTTTCTACATTGCAAAGAGCATTCAAGACCCAGCAGTAATTCTGCTTTCCCAGTCCACGCTGTTCAGAACTACAGCCCTGCCTCTAATCATGGTCTCAACCATAAATCAAGCAGCTCTCACAGAATTCATCATAAACCAACCAACCCTGCTGACTTCGATCCTCTTCTTGGCCCCACTGGCCCTGCAATAAACAAACCTCCTCCATTTGCACTGCCCTCTGCTCAGCCCAAGAGCCAAGTGCACCCACATTAGGCTCCTCACCCTGCCCTACAAGCACACCAGGAATGGTGTGAGCATCAGTTCCAGCTCACATTGCTGTCCTCGTTGCCTCAGCTGTGCATTTCTTCCTTCTCCTGCAATGGGAGAACCTCACACAACAGTTCCAGCAAGTACAAATGAGGACCTCTGCCTCTCATCTTTGCTGCTGCTTAGTGAGAAGTACGCTTTGCATTTCTGGCATGTTAAGGATCTCAGAATTTCAGCAGCACTGATAAGGGCCAGCCGTGTCCCTGTGAAGCAAACAACATTAAAAGACCATTCTAACACACGAGGTCAGCCGAGACACCCAGACACGAGGCAGGTCACAAGGAACAACTTATCTCCCCGGCCAGTTTGCCTCTCAGAGCTGTGTAATGAAGGAGAAAAGGAGATTCAGCCGTGCCAGCAAGGAGGGGGAGCTGCTGGGGCTGCTCTGCAGACAGCACAACCCCCCGTGCAGCCCCAGCCAGGAGGGAGCCTCATGCAGGAGGAGAAGCAGGGAAGCCTCTGATTAATGAAATTACAAATCAAGCCACGCTCTCTGCAAGGCCTTTCTGCTTCACTTGATGCTAGCCCCGGGGACGTTGCACTTTGCTGGCACGAGCTGATTTGCAGTAGTTTAACACAGACCACTGGACGTGAGGATAACGCAGGGATCTCAAAACACTGCAGCACTTCACATCCCCGAGAATTCCCCTCCACGTTCACTGCCACCCAGAACACCACGAAACCTCGCACAGCTCGCTCAGAACAACAAAGAGAACAGAACAGAGCCGTCCCAAGGAATGCACAAATCTGGGGCTGAAGGAGCAGGACCGGCTCCGGCCGCTTACCTGCAGCTCCCAAGCCAACATCCACGCTGTTCCTCTTGAATTCACAGCGGCTCTGGGTTTCTGGCATAACGAGCTGGCGGCTCTGATGCAGGTTGGAGATGATAGTGGAGAGGTCGTTATCACGGCTGCAACAGAGCAGAAAAGCACCAAGTTAAGGAAATCCTATTTGCCACCACGTAATTGATTTTCGCGTGCACACGCCTGCGTGAGCAGCTCAGGTTTACCCCAACCTGAGGGGGGGGGGGGGGGTGGGTTTCTCCTTGGGATCCATTCCCAAATCACCCCCCCCCCTTGGTTTGGGAGAGCAAAACGCTTCCCGTAAAGGGCTGAGCGGCCGCCAGCTGTCAGCTGTGCCAGATACACACAAGGTGCGTGGGCCGCGTGGATGGAAAAACTGAATTGCAGCTCCGTCCCAGCGCTCATAGGAAACTTGAACGGAGAGAACTGATAGTTTTCTATCAGCTGCCATCCCTTCTATCCTCGAGAAGTAAGATTTTCCATTCCGGCGCTGCTGGAACGCACCGTTGTTTGCTTGGAAACTGCTCTTCTGTTCAGAGAGAAGCCCACCGTGGATCTGCACGCGTGCAGCACTCAGAGCACATGGCACAGCTCTATCTACAGAGCCCTTGGAGCACTATCTGCTCCTCTCCTTGCATCAGAATGCTGAGGAGCGGGCTGGGTCCAACCAGTTTTGGCTTCCTCCCTATGGAGAAGGACCCAAACTCAGAAAGACATTCAGTGCAGCCAAGCTCTTGCAAAACACTCCTCCATAAACGCAAACAGAAGAGCTGCAAGCCTCCCTTTGCCCTCCAATGCTCCCCCTCCACCTCCCCAGCAGCAGGTGCTCAGCAGGGCTGCTCCTCACCCATCTCCCTGCAGGAAGATGCCCCACGGGGGAGTGCAGCCCCCCAGCCCTACTCACGTGCCAAGCGTGCCCGCCCGGTGCTGCCACACACAGCACATGGCCACCGCTCCTGCTGCAGGAGATGGCCTCACCTGGGAGCAGCCGGACTGCACGCAGGGTGCATGGTCTGCACTCACCCAGCTCCCGCCTGCCCTTAAATATCCCCTTCTGATCCCCTTCTTCCCCTCCCTCAGCCCACTCTCAGCACCAGATCCTCAGCCCAGTGCACAAACCGGGGCTAATCTGTCGTCTAGCTGCCGGCTAATCAGATAAGTTTAGGGCAGAAAGTCTTTCTAGACAGAGGTACTTTCCGCAGGCGTCTGGCTCCAGATTTTCACATGGTGAGGCAGACTGGAGAGGTTCTCCAACCTGCTGCTCCCCCCGGCATCCTCAGGGATGCTCAAATCCCAAAGCTGCTGAGCACCCGGTGCGTCTTCCTCCGCTAAACCCGCACGGATTGCTCCTTATGCAAGCAGGAGGCTCATGACTTAAACGAGCCCACAGGTGAGTGGGAAGCCCGTTTCTCCTTTGCCAAGCACTTTTGGGTCTTATCCTCTTTTAGCTGCCACCTTTAAGATGCATTATGCAAATGTTTTGGTGTCTTAAGTCATTTAGGGGATTAATGCGAAGTGATTATCAGTTCTTTTTAATCACGCCAATCAATAACTGGATGTCAGGGACAGAGGACAAATGCAGATAAACGCTGCCATCAGCACAACGCTCGGGAAGGGGTGGAGGAGAGGAGTGCAGGGGGAGAGAAAAATAGGATCGTGACATCTTTGCAATGGCAGAACATCCTGCATCCCAATGAGCACCTCTCACAGCCAAACACACCAACCTATTCCTTCCTATGGAAAGAATGGGCTTCTGCCTACATTGAAACACAGCTGCCTTCTACAGGGAAGGAAACTGCACCAAATCTTAAGCTTTTATCCCCAAAAGCCACCTATGTTTTTAGGAGGTGTCCCATCACATTTATCAACACCCCAGCACTGGCAGGGACACCTAAAAGACCTGACCCACGCCCCAAGCAGGGCTGATGGCCATCCCTAAAATGCAGCTTTGCCCAATGGCTCTGCAGAAGACAAAGCTGACACAAAGGTGACATTGAGGGAAAAGGGACACAACACAGAGCAGAGCACATAGGATCAGACAGCTTTTAGCACATTGCACCATCCCCAGGAGCAGCTCTGCAGCACTCGTGTGTGCTGGGAGCACACTCTGCCATCCCCTGCCTGTTTGAGACAGAAAACTTGCAGCATTTTCACCAGCAATCCTCTTAGACCTCCAATGAGCAAAGCCCAACTGACTGCTTCCATCCCAACATCTTTTAGAAAAAAAAATATTAAGTAACAATATAAAAAAAGCCAACCTTGAGGAAGCTTAACTTGGAACTGAATCTCAGTCCTCCAGGTGCCCCCTCTGTCCCCCTGCAGCCAGCAGAGCATCCTCCCACTCAGCCCTGCCCTACACCAACCCATCCCCACCACCACCAGCCCTACGCCACCAGCTCCACTTGCCCTAAAACCCCCCAAAAACGGTGTTTCTCAACAAAAAGCAGCTCCTGGAAAAATTCCCCCCAGCACTCACCTCTGCCAAAAGCCAACTGCACACTGCCCAGCACTGATGCACAGTGAGCAGCACCTGGGCAGGGCTGGCCCACAGCTGGTCCTATCACCCAGCTGACCAATGCTGGCCCTAGGGCAGCTCCCTCTGGCCAGCTGGGCCCTGATTGCTCCATCCTGCTCACCCTGGCTGCTGGTAATTTGTGCTCACATCTTTGCCTTCGTGGCTGGACTTGGTGATCTCGGTGGTCTCTTCCAACCTTCACCCCAGAATCACACCATTCAGGCTGGAAAAGACCACCAAGATCCCCATATGCAACGCCAACCCATGTCACAGTGAGCCTCTGTGTCACATCCCCACAGCTCCTGAGCAGCCCCAGGGATGGTGGCAGCCCTGCAAGCAGACTCACTCACTGCAACCTTGCCGTGCACAGAACAGGGCTGCAGCGCACACAGCCAGCACAGGACTGAAGACCCTTCTCGCAATCCAGTTTGCAGGATACTTGTCATGGTTCTATGTTTTTTGTTTGTTTTTTTTGTTTTGTTTTGTTTTTGGGTTTCAGTATTCCACATCAAAACATCATGTAGTGTACGGGGCATTAAAGTGTCACTGCCCCAATCCCAGCTACCTATCCCTGTACATTACAGAAGTCACGGGATCTGGCCCTTCCGGGTGGGGGGGGGCGCTCTCTTGCTGCCTTGCAGTGGGTGCTGGAGGTGCTTTCCTAGCCGTTCCAAGCTTTTCAGGTTTGAATCGGTCCCGGGATCTCTCTCTCTCATCTTGTCTGATTTATTAATCTCAGTTGCAATTAAATTGTATCTATTGTGTTATCTTGTATTCCAATATTATAGTAAAATAAGTTTTCCTCCATAGATTGTTGCCGCTGTTCTTTTCCTCCCTTCCTTCCTTCCCATTTTTGTGGGACTGGGGTAAAGGGGGGGGGGGGGAGGGCAGAGGCCTGTCGCCCCTGTCACGGACATAGATTGATCTGGTCAAATCCGTGACAATACTAACATCCAAAACCAGGGATGACAATGGATAGCAGCACCTGAAACCTGGCTGCTTGTCCTGGCAAGCATTAAAGCACCACAAGACCAGCAACTGAGGCTCCCTGGAAGGAAAAATGAAACGGCTGGGAGAGCATCACCCCTACAGCTCCACTCCAGCGCAGCCCCACAGGCAGGAGCCCCACTGAGGGGATTGCAAAGAGCCACGTGGAGGATTTCTCCATCTGTACAGAAGGCTGTAATCCTCCCCCAGGTGCTCACTTGCAGCCCAGCAGGGCACAGGGCTCTGCTCTCCTTTGTCTCGCTGCCTGGTGCTGCCGACGCAGGCTCCCCCCACCCATGCACAAACACACATGCACACACAATCAGATTAAAGGTCTGATCCCTTCCAGTAGCATAATATTATATTTTAAAAACCGGATTAGAGAAGGGGGGCTTGAGCAAGATACACATCTCCCGAAAGGTCAAGGAGGAGACAAACAGCCTTCTGTGGGGCTGCAGGTTGCCATGGCAATACTGGGTTTGCATGGGGTTTGGGTAATTAATGCTTTAGGGCCGTGGTGACACAGGTGTTTGTGAGCAGCAGAGGTGCACACCCTGAGCCTGGGCACTTCAGCTCCCAGAGCACTGCTGCAGGGAGAGGCTCTGGGCTCGCTGGGATGTGGCTCAGTGATGCTGACAGCTTCATAACCCCCCATTCCTGGATGATGGGAGCTCTGATCTGCAGGTATTCCTGCTATTTTAGCTTTGCAATGCACTCCTAGCACGAGCAGCCTCGAGTCCACAACTGAGCTTCACCCAGCCCCGCATCTGAGCAGTGAACCCAGCCTAGCTGAACTCCTTTTGTCACTTCCAATCACAGCTGACACGCTGTTCTCTATCTGAACCCATCGTCCTGGTTCTGTGACACTGCACTGAGCAGCTGCACAGAGCAGGATACGTTCAGGAAGGGTGGGGGTGGGAAAGGGGCAAAAACAAGCGAGTGCTGATGGCTGAGGAAGGAATGGGATGCTGTGCTCACCGGGCTGTCCCTCCTGCTATAGAGCTAAGGGACAGGCAGCAGTGCTGGGGACATCTCTAAGGCCAACTCTGGACAACCACGTGGCACAGAGCTCACACTGAACTAAACCTGAGGTCACTGTCGGTGTCTCGGTGATGTTTACTGCTGCGTTCTGCAGAGCCTCAGAAGGGAACCATCCCAGCAAACATACTGTATGCCATGCCTCTGCCTATTCTCCACTGCAAAGAACACCCCAGGCTGCTGCAAGCTGCCATCCCACGGGAACCCTGGCCTGCCACCGGGCTCTGCCTCGCTGCCAAGAAGGAGAAGGAGCTGGGTAATTACAAAAGCTTGGGCAGTTTCCAAATCCTAATGAATGGGAGCAGCAGATCCCCCCTCCAGGAGCGCAGGGAAACGGTGATGAAGGCTCTCCCTGCCCAGAAGCTCGCCGTGCATCCCAGGGAAACGCAGCACTGAGACACGCTGCCAACTAATGGCTGCAAAAATTACCTCTGGAGGAAAAGAAACCGCCGCTAATGCTCTCTGCGAAGGCTCTGGCTGCTGTGCTATGCTTAATGGCACTGCCTGGCCCTCCGTCTCCCCAGCACGGGTGGCTCTGATGAGGCTCTGTAATGGCACAGTAATGGG